AAACTATCGCGTTACATATTTGCATTTTGCAGAACAGCATAAAGTAAATATGCATATAATTCAATAAAAATGTTTTATAACAAAGTAAAATGATTCTGAAAAATCTTGTATACATTCACTTATAGGTACTTTATACAAATAATTTCTGTAAAAGAAAAAGAATAGGAATACGTAGCATTACTGCCTACTGTGTCAGATTTGGAGCCTATTTTGTCAGACGCTCATTTTTGCATAACTTACGAAAAACTTAATTGTTGCAAAATTGCTAACAGTATTATAAAAATTGCTTATACTATCTGATAGAAGACACTTTTTACTTTGTATTTATGTTTTTGAAGTTGTATTTTTACTTTTTGTTTAAGAAATATTGTCTAAAAACAAAGTGGTATGTCGGTATCGGTAATCTTCCTCTACGTAAAAAACGTCATGTTTGAAAGTACCGTTTTGTTATTGATAATTGTTAAGTAATATACTATACCATATATGTTAACACAAAATTGGAATAATCTGCTAGTAATTTGACTTCTTTTGCTTGGCGGAGCACTTCTATGATATTTTCCGGGTTGACTTCAATAATTATATTGAACACCGACAAAGAGCGTATCTCTTTAAGCATCGTACGATAATCCGACCCTTCGTTCAACTGTCGTACTGTGTGTACAATTGGGTTTTCTTTGTCTCCTTTTAGAGTCAAAGTCTTCTGAAGGCGCGACAGTCCCTCGTCAGTTTCGTAAATCGCTGCGAAATTTCGCCATTTCATTGATGCGATAACATCGGCGATTGCCTACAGTTTTGTCAATTAATAATACATTACAAAAATAATAATTACATTTTAAATTCAATGATATCAAAATTACGATTTAACCTCCATCTTAGAATTATAGACTATATTTGATTTGATTAATTAGATGTGCACCTAAAAATTATCACGTAAACTAACAAATTGAATTATTACTTGCACTGTTAAACATCTTTTTCAAATTTTGCGATTTACTATAGCGTATAAAACAAAATCGATTTTTGGTTGCGAAGCATTTCTTTGTAACATATAGCGACTGACCTGGCTGATTTTTTCACTGGCAGGGAATACATTCATGGTCATTGACGATAGAGTCTTCTGTTTTTTATTTTTCTCTATTAATCCTTCGTTTTCCCGCCAGACATATTCAATGTGCGGTATATCAAATCGAGCTGCAATACTTGCAACTATACCACGAGTATGCCTGCTTGCAGGTCCAAAAATAGCTGCTACACCTTCTTCAAGAAGGTCACAAGCTATATGTATGAAAAGTAATACATTAAGTATATAATAAATTAACAATATGTCTAAAATTATTATAGAATAAAAATGCAATGTAAAGCCTTCCTTGTAAACTTGTTTTATTTTTCAATTTTACATACGAATTTTTGTGACTGTAAAAAAATAATTCTCTCGTCCGGTTAAATTATTATAATGCTTTTATTGAATATAATGCTTAAATTATTATCATGCTTTTATTGAATACAATTATTTGATAACATTTTACGTATATATATATATATATATGTATATATACATATTACGATATATGATTATATGTATAACTATAGAACTATTCTAAACTGCACTTTCAATGTTCTATTCTCTTGGGATTGAATTAGATAGAATAAATATTATACATTATGGAAAAATATTGCATATTTATAATTAGTAGAAAACAAACTTGTTGATATTATGGAATAATTGTCATTCGGAGTAATTGGTTTCACCGCGTACTCACCAGCTATACCAGTCTTAAAACTATCAGTATCAGCATCGATGTATTTAATCACGGGGATAAGCTCGAATGCGGGTGCAAGATTTTCGTACTTTGTATCAAAGATTGCTTTTATGAATGTAGAGTTAAGATCTTCATCACCTTTGTGGAAGATTGCTCCTAAAAAATATATTAATAATTAAAAATTGTATAAAAAGTCTGACATTAGATTAATTAATATCAATATGTGAAACATAGTACAAAGATTAAGGAATATATACATGATTATATATTGTATAAGACATCAGAAAAGCTTTAACGCAAGAAATTTTAAAAATAAAAATAGTGCTTTTTTTAAATAAATTATTATATTTTTATCTAAAGAATCAATATAAAATTTAGTACGTAATCGTAATAAGATATAATCGTAATGATTAACTGAAGTAAAAAAATTAATATATAATCACAATTAATTTCCTAATTATACCTCCAAATAATTATTACATACCTATAATATATTTATTTGAATAATCGCTAATATTAGTTAATAACGCATGAATTCGCAATTTACGTTATGCGTGTCGGATCAATATTAAGTAATAAGCGCATGTGAACACCGTTAAAAATATTTCTCTTGCGTGACTTTGTGAACATACATTGGTATTATCACGAGCAAAATTTATCATTACTGAATTTTGACTCTAAAATTTATAAATATATTTTTACTTCTATCGTATTAAAAAAATTTTTATGTTAAACATACCTTTATTATTTTATTTTGATTATAAATCCATGTGTTATATGGCATTTTTTAAATGACGATTTGTCATAAAAAAGAAGAAAACAATAAATAATTTATAGAGTCGATTATTATTTTATTTAAATTTATATATGCGAATCATTTATAAATTTAAATAAAATATAATCTTGCTGTTATATAGTTACTCAACACATATATTTATAGAATTTTTGTGTTTTCTTGGTACTGAAGAGGACCCAAATAATAGGTCGAAACGTTTACCTGATGTCATAATTATATAATTTTATTGTTCATTAATAAATTGATTATTACACATAATATCCTGTGTCGGCTCTAATAGGCATTGAAAGATTTTTATTCAGATTATCTCTAGAGAGCCTTTATCTTTGATCTATTGTTTATATATGCAGTCGTCAAATAGAATATTATGTTAAATTACTATAAAGTAGATTATTATAGAGGGTTTAGTGTTTGCTAGTTCTATCGATAAATGATTTTTTTTATCTGTGAAATTCCATACATAAGCTGTATGTTTTTTGAAATTTATTATAGTTTTCTAGAATGATCACTGCTTACCGATTTTTATTGGTCGCGTCAGGCCATGAATGCGTTGTGTTGCCAGTACTAATAAAATTAATATGATCGAAAATAAATACTGTCGTGAGTCCATTTTAGTAAAAAATCTGTAAAATACAATAGTGTATTTATTTACAAAATATGAATAACTTGAACAATTATCAATGATTTCTCCTTTTCTATGTGCATAACATTACATTTTATCGATATCGATAATATATAATACAATGTAGATTTTAATTAAGATTTAATTTTTTTTTCTTAAATAAAATATTTGTTATTATTTAATAACTTTATTTTCAATCTAAGCCATTTGGAGAATATATGAGTAATCGTAATGTCTAATTAAAGTTCTTTATATTATTATTATAAATTTTAACGGTTTAAACTATTTTGAGATCAGTCGAGTTATATATCGATTTTTATATCAGTAGAGCTATACTACCTTATATGTATATATTAATAATTTTACTAGTTTTACCTTAATGTTCGCGCGTCAATAACTGCATTCTCTTCATTGTTTGAATTCAATACTTTTTCAATTGGAATCAATCAAGATCTTTATCTGAAGTTTTCGAACTTTTCGAAATTTCAATGAAATAGAAGAGGGAAAACCAATGAATCAGGAAACTGTACTCGCGAAGTTTCGACTTCGATGTTGTCCTACTATACACTGATCTAAATTTAGGTCTGAACCACATCTTATATATGCTTGGCTTCGCGTCGTTCGTTTTGAGAACCGTGTTGTAGTGACTACGTCGCACATTCTTCCAGTAACGATATTTTAAATTTCTATACTTCTACAATGTTTAAAAAATGTATTCAAATAAGCGCGTTATTAAAATAATAAATTCATATTTTGTTCATTTAATTAAATAAACTAGTAGGGATATTTTTTGTTATAATCTAACAAATAGAGAGAAAATTAAGTTTAAATTATAATAAATCCAAACAATCTACGTTTTGTTTTTCCGTTTTTACTATTTGAACCAATTTCCTTTATTGTAAATTTATCAATTTGTGATTAAAATATCTTTTATTTTCAAAATAAAATTAGGAAGAATACATTTTTAATCATGTAAAAATTAATGAACAATGAAGTAGTAAATTAAGAAAGGATAACAATATAAAAATTACTAATTATTTATAACACATAAGAAACTTAAGTAATTAGTGCCACGCTTGTAGTCTTTTATCGCGATCATATTGGATTATAATGTTAAAGCGAGTAGTGTGAAGTTTTTCCTTGTATTACATATACTGAAATAGATTAATCTTTTTCGCATATTATTATTCACATTTGACAGTATAAATTAAGACATATTTTCTAAACCAAAAGTTATTCAAGGTTAATAAATCATTTAACCATCACTTCATACTAAAAAAAAGTTTTATTTAAATACATGCTAACAATAGAGAATACTTTCAATCTGTATCATGCTTTACTTATAGAAATAAAAATTAATGTCATAAAATTATTTTTGTTAAATCTTAAGCATGCTTTTAATAAGGATCTCTTGATCAATTTGGTTGAAGTCTGAATATCTACAATTGATGAAGTAAATCCGACTTTTGCTTGTTGGCGAATTATATTTATATTAACTGTTGTACAAGATGGTATCGTTAACATTTTAAAATAATATTACAGAAGAGAAGTATACATACAGAGATGACTAACTTACACAGTCGTTTAGCTTAGTGAATACCTCGACCCGTGCTTAATATACATCTTTACAAACATCTATACCTTATTATCTATTTTACATCTTATTACCTATTAACATTTATACATTATTACCTATTTATATAGGTGTGTATGAATATTTATTTAATAAATTAGAGCTTTCAATGTAGGAATCCTTGTATTATTTAAAAAATTCGTGGTTAAACTTAAATTTGTGGTTAAACTTAAATTCTCTTGGCAATAATTAATTAATTTCATGATCATCACACACACATTTGTTTCTATTATGGTTTTTATCGAATTTACCGAACACATCAATATATAAGAAAGAATCAGCAATAGATCAAGCGCTGTCAAATCCATCCTTCCTAGAACTTACGTTACTGTTGCTGCTTTTAGTAATTTTAACGGGTTTCGTAATTGCGAAGATGTTCACGGCGAATTTCAACTCAGCAGCTAACACTTCCCACGTTGTGATCTGTATGAAAGATGATAATTAAGTTCTTCTTTAGTATACATATATCACAATGATGCAATAATTAACTTATTAAATTTAACCTAAATACCTAAATACCATAAAAAGAATTTGTCATTTGTGATAGAGACACTTTTGAATAATGACTATCCGGTGGATTTTATTTTTAATGTAATGAATGATCGTCTCAAATCTTTATTACATGGAAAAACGTTGAGGCAAAACAGTGATAATGATAATGGCACAGATATAATAAACAATATGTGGTTTGCGTTCTCTTATGTAACTAAGGTTTCGGATAAATTTAGAGACATTACCAAGGATTATAAAGTCAATCTTGCTTACTTTAGTCTCAATAAGCTTAACTGTTTTATAAAAACACATAAAGATCCGGTACCGAATATGTCTAAAAAGAATGCAGTATATAAAATCAAGTGTAATGACTGTGATGCTCCATACGTTGGTCAGACTAAACGTACAGTAAAGACGTACAGTAAAAACGTACAGTAAAGACGAGGATTAATGAGCATCATAATGATATTCGAAAAAATATTAATAATCATTCGGTAATTACAGAACATAGACTTAATTATAATCACGATTTCGACTGGGACAATATAGAGATTATGGACAATGAAAGATTTTTATTTAAACGACGAATATCAGAAATGGTGCACATACAATTACAAAAAAATGGTTTAAACTTACAGTCTGACACAGAATTTCTACACCATGCGTATATTTCGATTCTGAATAATTTGTAACGATTGTCGATCGAAGCTTTTATCTTTATTATTATATAGTTCATGTTATCATTGCTCGGTAAGATAGTCTTTCTGTATCCTTTAATTGTTGTCTTTGCCGTTTGTTACACATCATAAATGTTATTTACCGATCTATATAAATGTATAATTCGAGCGGGTTTACTGTTGGAAGATTCATACGAGTGTTCGTTGTTATATGAATCGACAAAAATGTACCACGTATCCATAATTGACGGTTTAATTAGATCTGATATTTTGAAATTTATTGTATATTGACTGCGGATGTTTGTTATAATTTAATTAATGGAAATGTTATACATTATACATAAGTATTACTGATTGTTCTTGGCTTTACGGGTGAGTCTTATTTATTGGTAATTTATAATTGTATTAGAATTATTTGGTAACGTCCATTTCTATATATAGAACTACATCCTCGAACGTTGCCAATTGTTTTTCCAATCTTTTGTCACGTATTGATGTTGATGGAAGGAGTGACCAATCTCGTGGAGCCAAGTAATGGTCAATAATTAATATTAGTGTAAAGGCTAAGATGCACTGATGATGGCTCGAATGGATGCCGAAACGTATGGAATTTAATAATTAATAAACTTATTCATCGCAAAACTTACAGCGACTATACTCTCATTAGCCCTTGTTTATGTTTTATAAAAAATTTTTTTGTTATTCTTTACAATTACTCGATTTTTATATATTTAAAGCAATATTTCTGACAAATGAATTTGTACCCGATTTTTTGAAGTTCGATACGCATATAGAACACCAAAATAATAACAATAATTATTTATAGTAAAGAAACGATATCTCTTAAAAAAACTTTTTACAGAAATAGAGCTGGGTGCTCATCTGGATTAACCTCACAGTATCCTAATTCAAAAAATCACTAACTAAATCGCTATTACGCAACAAAAAAA